GATTCTATGATTCTATGATTTGCTCTCATTTTTGGGGGGTCATGTAAAGCTATTGCTTCTAAAACAGCCTTTGGTAATAAATGTGTGTTTCATCTCGTAACAAAATCCCTTCCGGCGCTCTCAGCGCTGGGCTCATGCAGACTCTCATGATGCTGTCATTAAGTTTCCTGTAATCAGCTTCGTGGGTCGTCTTAGTTGAGTCATCGTGTGTTACTGACCGGTACAACATGAGAAAATTTCACAAGTAATTTAGTGCTTCAGGGTGCAGACTAATCCCCATGGCCACAGCAGAAGGCCTGAGTTTCAGAAACACCCGTAGAACGTTATTAGCTCGTGTATTTTATTTACCTTTGCCTGTTTTGTTTGCCTTGTTTTATTCCACTCCTTCCCTTTTCTCTTCCAGGTCTATTATAAGCAGAAGGTTTTTCTGTATTGTTGGCACGCTATACCTGTATCGGTGTATCACGATGTACGTAACGACGCTCCCAGTACCTGGCATGCATTTCAACTGCTCTCCAAAGGTAAACTTCTTGCTGCCCTTCCCTGCCATCATTGGGATCGTTTCCTGTTGTCTCAACCCAAAATGCGAGCAGAACTTTCGCAATAATTGCTGCAAAGTTGAAAATACTGATTTGGTGTGATGAGGACTCCCTTCTGCAGGTGATTGGCTTGGCCTCTTGGTTGAGGCGTTGATTGCTCTTAGGCAGTGCAGGGATTCCCACCTGTTTTGAAGACTCCATCAACACAATTCCTGTAGCCTCGCTGGTGAGACCGGCTCTTCTCCGGCTCCCCCAGAGCAGCTGATGCAGTGCAGCCTATGGAGGTGCCATCTGGGGCTCAAAACAATTCAGGGTGTTAAATCAGAGTACAATTTGCCTTTGATAATGACCCAAAAAGACGTTCAGGCTGGTTCAGCATGAAGCTTTCTGTCCCATTTGCCTCTTGGAGATTGCAGGGGCGTTGGGATCTTCATCCGGTCTCTGGACCTGACCTGGTCTCCCATGGGAAACCCCATTGCAGTTCTCCTGTGTCCTACACTTTGGTCCCAGGACTGTTGCAGTCCCGCTCACCTATTGCCCACATGGCCCTGGGCTTCGCGCGTGCAGCCCCAGGTGAGAGGCCGGGCAGCAAAATCCTAAATCCAGCTCCTGGTTTGCCTCGATGCACGGCGGCTTGAGGGGCTCGGGGCGCTTCAAAGCGAAGCGAATGAGAGAGAAACCAACGCTGTGTTTGATCTGTCAGCCACTGCAAAACAAAAACACATACATAAAAACAGGTATTTATGAACTTAACTGCATAAACCTACCCTTTTTGGAAGTCTACAGTGTTGGCGCGTTGGCCTTGTTCCTCAAAGTCAAGCTACGTTTGCCCTCTCCTGTTTCCAGGATAAGTTTCTGCTGCTAATAATAGCAAGGGTTCCTTGAAAGATATAAATGTGTTGGTGGGGGAAAAAATAACTTCTCATCGCCTTATTGAATGATGTGTAATCGGAAAGAGTTGGCATTTGGGAGCATTTTAGTGCTCGATTAGGAGCCGTTAGCAAGGAATATTTCATCACTCTAAAGGATCTGACATAGATGCATCCAAAAAATATGACCCATACTTAAAGTAAGAATAAACATGAAAATAAAGGCCTGACAAGGCTGGACGGGTGCACCCGCCGAGCCGACACGGTGAATTGCAGGTAGCCTGGATCAACCCCATTGTGGGGTTCAGGAAGGCCCCGCTTGCTCATGGGGACACTTCCTAGAGGTTTTGGGTTCTCTCTTGTGGGTTAAACCTGGCTTTGGGCAGCTGGATGTGTGGGATGAGCCGGCCTCTCCCTTGGATCATCATCTGCAGGGCCAGCACTGTTACCAACGGGGCTGAATTTCATTAAGCTTCATTTATTTAGAGTGTGTTGCCTCCCTAGCAGAAGGAAAAACAGATGTTCAGAGAACGTGAGGAAAAAAATCCAATTAGAGACGGAATATTTCTAATTACTGTTTTTGTGGAGCATTTTCTCTCTCTCTTTTTTTTTTTCTCAGACTTTTATATTCCAGAATTGGTAGAAAAGCAGATTTTTTTCCCCTAATCCTCCCTCTGTATCTGTGGCTTATAAAAACATAGATACAATTATATAATGAGAAATAATTAAAAAAGGTCTGAACCCATTACCTCTGGTTCAAGATGCTTCCTCAAATCCTCTTGCTGCAGAGCCACAACCATTAGCCAAAGGCAGAACCTCCAGGAAAAATTACGCCTTGAAGCAGCATGAGCAGTAAGTGTTTAGAAATACCAGAGAAAACTGTTCTTGCTGCCGTGCCTGTGGCACTCTGCAGAGGGCTGGTGGCAGCATTTTGCTACCCTTGCAGCCACTTTCTCGCTTCGCTCTTGCCCTGAGGAGATGGCGGTTTGTTCGAAGTGGCTGAATCAAGAGCTTGCACATACGCACCGACGCGCACGTGTATCTACGCACACATATATTTGTTTAAACGGAAGGACCCCTTCTCCTTCAACCGCTCTGGTGATCGTAGAAAATGTCAGAAGCCCCTCAGTGTGTAATATTCGTAGGGAAATTTTAATAATTTCCTTTATTCCCTGCCTTGGGAATGTTCCAAAGTAATATTTTAGGCAGATTGGTGTAGGAGAATAAAGTTTCCTGCTATATCAATGGTATTGTCTCTATAATACATGCAAAGGATTAATCAAAAATAATTCTTGTCTCATTTCCTGTCCTTTTTTCCCTCCTGGAAACACATTGCTTGCCTTGGGGAGAAGTCATAGCATTTCACTGATGAAATTCTCATTTAGCAGCGCAAGAAAGCCTAACCCATTTCCCCCACGATGGGGAAAGATGCTTGCTCGTGCTGTCCTGTGAGCTCTTTGTGGTTGGCACTGACCTGTTACCGTGTTTTCTTGTCTTCCTTCCGACTTCCACCAGCTTTTTGGAGACTGGGAATCTCACATGCGCAGGATCATGAAGCTGCTCGCCGGCGGAGGGCTGTCCATCACGGGATCCCACAACATGTGCGGTGACTACCTGTACAGCGGTCACACCGTCATATTAACACTCACGTACTTGTTTATCAAAGAGTGTAAGTTCACTGCCCTTCTGGCTGCTGTATAAATCAACTCCATGCTACACATTTGCCGTTTTCGCCCGTAAATAGAGAGAAAATGCATACTTTCCCAGTTAAATTATTAGGAATTCAGTGACATGGCACTTGGATAAAGCTTGGACACAGAGTAAAACGCTTTACCATGCAGATACTAGAATTCTGCATCGTGTTTCAGAAATAATTTGTTCAGAATATATCTCAAACCTTTTTTCTCCCTGTCTGGTGGTTGTTGTTTACATGGATGTTATAACCGAGTGCCACCTAGTCTAGAGGGAGATGCAGATGTCGTGCTAGACGCGGCGTTGCTGACTGTACGCACATCAGGCCTCAGCGCGTGCATTTGTGTAGCATGAGAGGAAAAAGTTCTTTGCTGTCTACGTAGAGTCACTACTGAAGTACACGGCAGCTTTCAGAGACCGGGGTGTGTTAGATCTTTGCCCGTTGGGCCTGCTTCCTTGCAGATTCCCCCCGGCGCCTCTGGTGGTATCACTGGCTTTGCTGGACGCTCAGCATGGTTGGGATGTTCTGCATCCTCCTCGCTCATGACCACTACACTGTGGACGTGGTGGTGGCTTACTACATCACTACACGACTCTTCTGGTGGTATCACACCATGGCCAACCAGCAAGTGAGTATGCCCCAGCCTCTGGATCTGCTTGGCTCTGCACCGCCTGCCATGGCGTGGCCAGGGCCTGTGGCCCATCCCTCTCTTCCCCTGGGTGTGCAGTAAGGAGACATCCCTTGAGTTCAGCTTGCCTTTTGCCTACCAGAAAATACCTGAAGGCCTACTGACATAGCCTCAGTCTTCCAAGGCCCTCTGGATTTTGGCCAGTTTGGCCACTCCTGTGGCATTAGAGCCAGACACGTAGGCGTGCTGGCTGGGTGTCCTTCACTGAGCTTTCCCCGTGGCTTGGGCCTTTGGTTTTGCAGAGCTCCTGATGGCCGCGCGTGAGGCGCAGTGAATTCCTCCAGGTAAGCAAGGTTCTCCTCCCTCATGATTTTCTCCGTTTATCTCCGTGCAGGTGCTAAAAGAAGCTTCCCAAACTAACCTCCTGGCACGGGTCTGGTGGTACAAGCCCTTCCAGTACTTTGAGAAGAACATCCAAGGAATCGTACCTCGCTCCTACCACTGGCCCTTCCCCTGGCCCGCGCTCCACCGGGGGCGGCAGGTTAAGTACAGCAGACTGGTGAACGACACATAACAGCGTGTCGGGAAGACAGCAGGTCAGGCGGGGCAGAAAGGACCCGTCCCAAGTGCTAAAAACTCCACACGAGAAGATGCCATAAAAAGAAAAACAAAAAACCACAGCAAACCCGGCTCCCTAACCCTTTCTTTTAACAGTTACCCTGACTTTACCCTATTCAGTTACCTGGTAAGCACTGTGATCTTTTTTTTCTCTCCAAAGGATCTGCGTTGGACAACAATAAAGCAAATTTAACTTATCATGCACTGTTATAGATTTCTTGTTAATAGATTTGGGATTTGCATTACCCATCACCGTGTTCCTTTGTATATGATGCGACAGCGTAGATGAAAGCTTTTATATCATAAGTTCTGGTCTTTCCAGTCACATCTGGGAATAAAGCATATTATTTTCTTGGGAAAACATACTTTTCATATCTCTTGCCCCAAAGATTGGGCTGTAAGCCATTTTCTAGCAAATGACTCTATGAAGGTTTCTAAATTACCTGTCTTGGGTAAAAATTGAGAAATCTTTCTACCTGTTGCACCGAGGCAAATATAAGATGATAGACACAGGAAGGTTTGGTAAATTCGATTTTGTAGAAGCTGCAGTGACTGTGTCCAAAAAAAAAAAAAAAAAAAAGTAAAGTGATTTTCTAAGTATTTCCTAACTTTATTTTTCAAAATGTGTATGAAGATTAAATTTAAAAAGATTTTTACATGTCAGAGAATAGAGAGTTAAAATTTAAAAACAAAAAATGCTTCTTGGGAGAGAGAGAGATTTGTCTATGTTTCTAGTGCCTTTCTTGTCTTGATTGTACGGTCAGTAGGCAGTCTTAAATGTTTTTATTTAAAATAAAGTATTCCATAAAAGCAGAGTATATATACTGTATAATTACTAATTTTTTTTTGCGTTTATAGCTAAATTAAACTGGAAATTTGCTTTTAAGGTTGAAATTGCCATGCGTAGGGAAAAACCAAATGGAAAGGGTCCGATCTTGTTCACACATTGTGGGCAGGTCATATTAAAAGATATCACTTTATTGTCTACTTGGTAGCTGTATTTAAAAAAAAAAGAAAAAAAAAAGAAAAAACAGCCATGAATTCCTGTTTTTTAAGAATTTTACAAATGATCACTGAGTGAACCACGAATGGTCTCTCCAGTACTGAAATGTTGTTGCAAAACAACAAAGATAATCTATTTCTTTAAAATATTTGTGCAGAAACTGCATGTAATTATAAGTTTTACTCCTACCATACATACTGTATGTCTGGAGAAGTATTCTATGCTACGTGCAGAACATGCCAATGTGCAGAACAAAATAGATTTTTTTAAGAATGAAGAAGAAGAAATATATATATAAATATATATATATCCAGTCTGTATTTTACGTGAAGCAGAGTTATCTTCTGTAGGGTTTTTGTGTATTCACAAGGTGATATTTGTATTGTAAAACAAAAAATGGTGAAGGAAAATAAAAAGGCTTTTAAAAAATGTAGTTTCCTTTATCTTTTTGAGTGTTAATTTTAAATTTGAAGCTAGGTTTATTCTTCCAAGCCTTTTTTTTTAATTTTATGTGTTATTGCACTGTAGGCCCTCAAGGTTGGACTGTATGGAAACTGCATTGACCTTTTTTTTTTTTTTTTTTTTGAATTGCTGTTCTCGATTTGGCAAATCAGTGCCTTATTTGAAATATAAATGCTATGCAATAGATTCTGATCTTTAGGGGTCTGAGAACGGATCTGAGAAGCTTCCTTGGAACCATCACCAGGGCTTGAAAAATCTACCCCAAAACTGCTGGGAAGGGAGCGCGTTGCAACCTGGACATCCGTAGCCCCATTTTCTATCATTCGTATGATTTAAACTACAAAAACCATCTCATTTCTGTGAGTACAGCGCAGTGAAAGCATTACTATTATTATTGTTAAGGGGTTTTTTTAATGATAAGCTAAGTTTGTCTCCTCCTCAACCGTGTTCCCCAGCCCTGGCCTAGGACCTTCTTGAAGCATTGGCCCAGTTTTACTTCCGCTGCTTTGCCTTGCTGTTGCCTGGGCTGCCAAATAAGATTTCTTACCAGTTCGCTGTTCTGCTCAGCATGGCTGGGTTTTCTGCCGTGCTTCCCATGTTTCTTGGCAACAGCACTTGCAGAGCTATTTGCAGATTTGCTTTAGCTCTGCGCATTTTTCGTTAAGTTGCTGCTGGCAAAGCTACCTTTGCAACTGTGCAGGAAAAAGTTTATTTAAAAACAACCAAAAAATCACATCCTAAAATGATTTCTTGAGAGAATTCACACTCCCAGACATAAATGAATGAGTAGATTTTTCAAGTCCTGGATCACGCGCATCCAAAACCATTGACATAAGTAAATGTATGAATATATGCACATGACATTAAATGGAATCTGCTGAATTCTGCATTGTAGTGTCTGACTTACTGCACGGCCTTGGCCACACATGGACGTGTTTTCCAGAGCGGAGCTGTGCACCAAGAGGTGCCCTCGGGGCGCGCAGGAGCGTGGGGCCGTGCTCTGGCTGCAGCGCGGTCCGAGGCAGGGCACCGAGGAAATGGATGTGGGACAAAAATTGCGTTGCAGCAGTGTTAATCATTGTGTTCCAGAAATTCCTCGGATACGGTAAACCTGATTAACCTTCATTTTCCGATGAAGTGTAGCAAAGGATGGCGCTCTGGAGGTTTTGAAGGTGTCTGTCTACCTTTTGAGCTTTATGTTTTTGGGACGAGCTCTCTGGCAGCTCCCTGGGGCCAGCCTGTTTGTGGCCGGAGGCTGTAGCACCCTCACGTGCATCATCCCTTTGCTGTGGGGCTCTAGCATGGGATGCTCTGCCTGTCTCCACTTCGAGCAGTGCAACTTTCTTGGGTTTGTATGGATCCTCACCCATCCAAGAGGAGCGTGCAGCAAAGCAAAGCAGAGCCGGTGCGAGCGCGCATCTATGTCCCTTCCATCTTAGGCATATTTTGTATAAACCAGCAAAGTTGTTCTGGCCTGATAGCCTTAAATCCTACTGCGCCATCAAATGCAAATTACCGGAAGCTGGAATTTGAAGGAAGGATCTCCACCAGAAAAGGCTGGATGAGTCTGCTTGAGATGGAGAAGAATCCTGGTAAAAGTCCTCTTGCCAAAGTTCTGGGGAAACAAAAATCAAGATGTTTCCCAGAGGATGGACTTGAGAAGATGGGTGCCTGCATCACCGAGATCCATCTCTGTTCAACTTATTCCTTCCACGTGGGGAAGGCTCAGGCCCTTAGAATGCAGCAGAGGGGATAGCAGATTTTTGAGCAGCACAGACGAAGCAAGGACAAGGATCCCTTTCCCTTCTCTTCACTGTTGTGAAAACAGCAGTGTTTTGAGAACACGCTTTGCTAGTCTGCTTCAGCAAGTGTTGGTAGTGGGGGTCTAAGACAGGTAGATTTGCTGGCTTTCATGGTGCAGTTGCAGGAAGGTCTGTACCTTCTTTTGAGCTGTTTCATAAGGTCTTCTCCCAGGGACATGCAATCAGAAGAGGGGAAACCTTCATGAGATGTAGCTTGGCATTCCCATGCATCTTCTCTCTGCTTGTTGTCTCTAGGCCACATCTTTAGCAAATTGTGAGGATCTGCCCGGCTCCTCCCATTCTACGTTGTCAGTTTTCCCTCTTCAGGCCTAGGGAGCCATGAGGACTTGTACAGCTCTCTACAGACTTTTACTTAACAGCTCTTTTCACTCGGGTGCCACTTGGCTGTTCCTCAGACCAGGTGCTGTCCTGGTGCTGGTGACAGGCCAGGTAGGCCGTGCGCCCGTGAGGCTTCTGTTGTGAAATCACCGTTGAGCAGCAGATCCATCCAGGGCCCAGGATTGTCTCTGATGATTAACTCCACTTTGGGTGGAGATGAGGATGATATTGTCACCAGAGTGTTTGTTTTTGACCAAATGCTCCCGCATACGTTCAGCTGCCTCGGTAGGAATTGGTGAAGGGCTCGGGGCAAGGGGCTAGCTTGGGAGAAGATGCTTCACTCAGAAGAGAGGATGGTCCAAAGCCAAAATACACGGCTTATCACATCCGTAAATCACAGCTCTTCAGAGTGCCCTTGGGCCAACAGGGCAGGGTTTTTTCCAGCCAATCCCATGGGCTTCTAGACATGTGATTTTGCGGTGTAGGCCCATGGTGTACCTGACTTGCCCAGTGCTCTGGGCTGCGTTTGGCTGATGTACTCCTTGGCGTAATTAATAGCTGCTCCTGCTGAGGCTTTACCCCTGGCTGCTGCAGGTGCTGGGCGTAACAGTGTGACCCCACAGCTCATCGCAACGTGCTCAAAGCACCGAAATGTTGTTCTCCAAGTCACTAAAGCGGAACTAGATTTCACCGCCTCTTACTTGGAGCACACAGTACAAGGCACAGGTTGCCTCTGCCTTTTGAGAGGTCTTCTGCAAATACTCCTGGATGTTGAAGCTTAGTGGGAATTACTGTAACTGCTGATTTTCCCTGGGGAGAAGGATATGCTACCAAATCCATTGCACAAGTGTCCAGTTTTAGTTAATTTTGGTTCCTCTCAGCTTCTTCTCAGCATAGTGTTGGGGATGGGCCGTATATACATAAAATTTCGGAGCTTTGAGAAGTGACAGATGCTGTAGTTTTATTTATTATTTTTGCTGTTGTTGTTGTTATTAACCTATGCACGGACGGTTTTCCATGTGTGCCTAACCAGGCCACCCATTGGTGCTATCTTTACATGGAAGGTGCTGGCTTGTCCTTGCCTAGTGTTGAGGTCCCGTTATAGCTGCACTTCGCTGTGTGTGTTAGCTAATGGGAAATCTTAGCCAGGTGAAGGGGAAATCAAGCACCCTGCTCCAGGGTCAGAACAGCTCCCACCCCATTGCTGGGGGCAGTTTTTGCCTCGGCCGCGGGCCCCTTGTGGAAGCTGCTGTCAACGATGTTTCTCCAGCGTAGCGAGCTGTCTCCAAAGGGGTTGTTTGCAAACACAAAAGCACTGTGTCAAGTAGAGAGGTTGGCATCCATCCTGGAAAATAGTTCACACCCTGGCCAGCTGTTTAGCACATGTGCAATGACAGGTGCTTGAGGCTCTTGAAGGACATCATGGTCACCCCAGCTAGTGCTGTGGCTACCAAGGCCTCCTCCTCTCTTTTACTTTTTAATCTAAATTTCAAATCTACTTGCAGAAAGAGGTCCTGGGCTTTCCTGACATATGCTCACATTTTCCTTAGAAATAGTTGAGCAGGTTTAAACCTAGCTCAGATCCTGGTGGAAAATCTGAATTGTCCCATCTATTCCTGGAGGCAGGAGATGTTCCGGAAAGGAATCACTGCCTCTCTCAGCCTCAGAAAAATCTCCTGTTACTACTTGATTCCTCAGAGTCTGCTTGGAGTTGACGAGATGGGAGGAGAGAGACTACTTGACCTGGTAGAACAGCCATAGAATCTGCTCAACTTCAGTAACTTCTACACTGGTGTCTGCACAACTCATGGTGAGTTGGGCTAGTTATTGGGGTAGCTGGGCTTACTAAGTGTGCTCTCAGAAGTTGAAAATTTAGCCACAGAATTTGACTCTTTCCTGGACAGGAACAGTCTGCTGTTTCTGAGTTCTGGCTCTGGTCTGAGACTTGGGAGAACGTCTGTAGCAACTTTGTGTCATGGAAAACAAACACACAGCAGTGTTGATGCAAGGGGCTTTGGGTCCTCTGTTCAGAGCAGGACCACCACCAGACTGCCACACCGCTACTGCCTGGGTTGGAGCGTTTTGGTGGTCTGCAGAGCCCAGGAGATGCTGTTACAGTAGAAAGACGCTCTCCTGTTCCTCGGGCATGAACGTCAATCCAGAGCAGAAGGACACGCATCTACCTGGGATGAGTAAAAATCATCCTGAAGATGACCCCACATTTTAGCCCTTCACCCACCATGGTTAAGTGCCGAGGTGCAGAGCAAACATTTGAATGTTTTTATGGGGAAAGGTTGTAGAGATAAGCCATGTGCTTCGGTCTGATAAGTCACTCCACAGTGCGTGTCCTTTTTTTTTTTTTTTTTCCTGACTCCTCTGTGCAGAAATGTTATCTCTTGCTGTCAGGCTCCTTCTATATTTGTGCAAAAAGGACTTCGGTCGTTCTTTCATAAACAACTTTATGTAAGAGGGTTCACAATCGCTTTTTCCTCCTTGTCACCTGGATCGCAGGCTTGGCAAATGTCTCAGGTCTGTGTGAATAACATTACCCATATTGAGAGCTCATCCTTTTTTTCATTTTTCTTGCTACATTTTTTTTTCTTTCTGTCTTTCTGGAGGAAAAAAAAAAACACCCCAAACAAAGCAAACAAATAAAACAGCCAGATTATGCAGTCGATCTGTTCTCTTCCTGGCTCTGTGTATGTGGTAACTTGTACCAGCTGCTGGGTCTCTTCTGGACTTTTTATTACTAATTATTTATTACTATTTCTGCCACCAAGGCAGAAAAAACTATGTGATGCTACAGGAGGGTGAGAGCAGGGTGATAAAGAACTGAAGACATCCAAAATCCCACACCTTATCCAGCGAGATGCACGAAGGAACTGAGTTTTTGCATGCAGAAAGCAGTAGCAGATGTTGGTAAAAAGCAAAGTTTTAATTACGGTGCAAAAGCTGGAGTGTTTTGGCTTTGGGCCCTTCCTGTTGAGATGTCTTTGGGTACAACCCAAAATTTGATCCATCATGTGCTGCCCTGATGATAATAACCCCCTCAGAAGAGAAGTGACTGCAGAAAGTTTTCAGCTGGACTAAGGTGTTCCTTCCTTTAGACTTCATGCCGTGAAGCCCTATTGCATGGGGAGGATCCAACTCAGCCTGTTGAGGTGGACCATGCTAGCCCCCAGAAACTGCATGCTTCTCTGTGGGTTAGGCAGAAACAACAGCCCTGTGAAACGTCAGACCAGGAGTCTGGAAATGAAACGGGGAAGAACGGAAGAACACCCCACAGCTGGGCTGTGTCTCCAAACACCTGCCAGGTTTCTGCTAGGATTTCCTCCATTAAAATCCAGGCTCTTTAGACATTTGTGTTTCACTGTCATCAGCAATGCCTTTGGGTAAAGCCAAAGAGCCTTGGACCCTCAAATTCAGTAATCCCAGATCTATTCATAAGCAAGTATATTTGTAAGAGAAAAGTTTTCACAGAAAACCAGGCACTGTAGCTTATTTTCCTAATCTTTGGTGACTGCCTGAGACTTAAAAATCAGAGACTGACAAATCAAATCAAACGAGATTTGTACTTGTTGAAGTGTTCTTCCTTCACTACCCATGTCCTCTTGAAGCTTATACTGGAAGTTGCAATCACAATTGCCAGGCTATCCTACTAGATATTCTCATACTTCGGGGCTATTTTTGAAGAGAAATATGATAGTGGCATTGCTTTGGTGTGTTGGTTCATTTGATTTTGCTTTACTGACAGATTTTTAGGCTATTGTAAAGCGCCACTGATGGAGCATTGTGTTCGTCCTCACTGCAGGCCGTGAGAATCACAGAATCACAGAATTGTTGAGGTTGGAAGGGACTTCTAGAGATCATCTAGTCCAACCTCCTGCTCCAGCAGGGACACCCAGAGCATGGAGCAGCCAGTCACATCCAGGCGAGTTGGAAGATCTCCAGAGAAGGAGACAAGGCAGCCTGTTCCAGGGCTCTGTCACCCGCACAGGAAAGAAGTTCTTCCTCACATGGACATTGAATGGCCTGGGTTTCAGCTTGTACCCATTTCTCCTTGTCTTGTCACTGGCCATCACTGAGAAGAGCCTGGCCCCATCCGCCCTACAATCCCCTCTCAGATACTTGAACGTGTTGATCAGAACTCCTCTCAGCCTTCTCTTCTCCAGGCTAAACAGGCCCAGCTCGCTCAGTCTTTTCTCATACAACAAATGCTGCAGTCCCTTCAACATCTTCGTAGTGCTACGCTGGATCCTCTCTATCATCTCCATGTCCCTCTTGTCCTGGGGAGCCCAGAGCTGCCCCCAATGCTCCAGGTGCCTCCCCAGGGCTGAGCAGAAGGGCAGGATCCCCTCCCTCACCCAGCTGGCAACGCTCCTCCAGCTGCACCCAGGAGCCCATTGGCCTTCTTGGCCACAAGGGTGCATTGCTGCCTCGTGGGTAACTTGGTGTCAGCCAGGACTCCCAAATCCCTCTCCTCAGAGCTGCTTTCCAGCAGGTCAACCCCTAATCCGTGCTGGTACCTGGGGTTATTCCTCCCCAGGTGGAGGACCCTGCACTTGTCCTTGCTGAAGCTCATGAGAGAAACATGAACATGAACATGAGAAGATCTGTGCTATAGTGGATTCATGGTGGAGAGAGTATCAGAGCCATAATTACATCAATTATTGAAAATTCATTTCCTTAGGGATTCATTAGCAAATATGCCGCCCTAAAAGAGAGCCCTTACTCTACTTGACCATATACAGTCTGCTCTTGTGTCCTGTTGTCTCGTCTGTGGCCCAGGGTCGCTCCCCTATGATGATGTGATAGTCTGCTCATGGCTTTGTCAAAGGTGATTTTTTTCAGTCACCTTCAGGGCTGGTGCAGAATTTGGGGCGATCCTGCCATTTTCTGTATTCGTACAAAGCTCCTAGGCTGAGTGGTGCTGCCCAGAGATGGGAAGAACGTCCAGGGAGGTGACTACTGCTCTTGGCAGTGGCTGCTGTGCTCCCCTGGTGCAAGGGGAGGGAAGGCAATGCACCCAATGCCCATCCCAGCCCTCCAGGCTCTTGCTGTTGCAGTGCTGTGGCTGGGCACGCCTGCGCGGTGCTCTGTGGTGGGGTGGATCATTCCCAGCTGAGCTACAGCTGTGTGTCCGGGTGACAGGGGTAAGATGCTTCCTGAGAAAGAGACACTCGGGTAAAGCATGCTGGCCCTCGCAGGGGACACATCGGGGAAACCTGGCCTGGTTAGCGCACATGGCTCCGATTCCACACCCAGGCCAGGCCCTGGAGCAGCGCAGCTTCGCTAGGGCTGCTCTTTGCTTGAGCTGTTGAGCTCAGAGCGATGCTCCGTGAGGAGCTCAGCCCTACCCTGCCGCGCTGAGAGCGCAGTCCAAGGGTGAGTTCCACACGTCTGTGCAGAGCTGTTGAAAGATGCTCAGCTGATAAAGGTGCAGCCGTGCTCGGAGTCAGCTCACGTGCAGCCTCACACGGATCCATGCAGCCCTGCTTGTCCTGAGCTGGCCGTCAGGGTCTCTCCTGGGTCCAGATGTTCCCACTAAGCAGGGTATTTCCAACAGCACAGACCTGCCCAGGAGTATTTTTCATCTCCTGAGGCAAAACAGATGATTGTTTTTCAGCCAGTGGCAGGGGCGTTAAGTTTCTTCAGTGTCACAGCAAGGAGATAACATATCAGAAAGTCCTGTTTATCTCCACCATTTGGTCCAGAAATTGCTGAGTCTAAAGCAGATACCAAATATACAACCTTGAAACAGTAACTTAAGTCCCACCTGCTTGATGCTAGCTGATATTAACCCTTTGGGACAGAGAAATGGTGGCAAAAAGAGAAAGACCAAACTTCTTGTGACGTTTGGCTAATGGGAAGCTGATCGTGGCAGAAAATGGTGGAGATGGTCCCATCCTCAGGTTCTCCCTGAAATGCATGGGAGTTTGAGGAGCCAGGGGAAGTAACAGCATAGGGCTCATGGGGTCTTCCATGCCTCCTGTCATTAGCAAAGACAGTGACTGCCATCCTGGAAATGGGAAGGGATCCTTTGAGGGAGGCAGCCTCATCTGCAAACCCCTAGCACACTGCGACTGACCAGTGCAATCCCAGAAAGGTTATTTTGCAGAGAGAGAGGCACCACTCATCACCTAAAATAAATGTGGTGAAAAATCATACTTCCCTTTTTGATAGAAACTATTGACCTCTTTCTTCTTATCTCGTGCAGTGCCTGACTCAGAGCACTGTAGCTGCGATAAAGCCAGTTTTCAAGCCGTGAAACGATCCTTTAGACTGTGGGACACACATGGAAGCTCTGCTATGAACAGACTGGAGCGTGCTGAAGCCGTATGTTGCCCAGAATACAGCAATCCCTAATAAGTTGTAATACAAGGTAAGCTTGCATAAGATTTCTTAGTACAAGATGTTGCCATTTTTATTATTCTTTCAGCAGTTTAAGCACTTAGAAAAATAAACGTGAATCTTGTGCAGATATGTTTGAGGATGGTGCTGTGATACTGTTTGTCTGGATGGGTCATTAAGCTGGGTGAACCTGCTGGGTGAAATTCAGCAACACTCACAACTGCTTTATCTTATTATGGGGAAACCATCTGAAGTCTGGGTGACCAGTCAGCTCAACTGGAGATGTCGTTTCTCATTGCCACCTTTCCAAAACCGCAGATGCTCTTTTCAGCAGTTGTCTTCTGCAGATCAGTTGTTTCCAGGATGTGTCACCTTTGGAGAATGACCTGGTGGCACAAGCTGAAGGGAGAGGGTGCCAAGGCTGGTGCCAACGCACAGGAAGGCAGTAGTTACCTACAGGAAAATTAGAGGCTCTGCCTCCCTCTTCCTTTTTCTAACTGCATGCCCATCCTTCCCTGTTTCCAGTCCTGTGATGCCATCATAGGATTGAATCCCAGATTGACTCAGTCTGGAGGCTCCTCTGGATAAGGCTGCCTTTCTCCGGGTGCTTTGCTCCCGGTCCTGCTGCAGTCCGGGCTGGGGGAAATCAGGGCTCATATTAGAACAATGGAACCAAAAACCACAACCACTCTTTTTCATCATCCTCTCTGGGTGTGATGTGCCAGCATGAGGCGGTTGTGGTTGTCCTCTGCTTGTCACACGGTCTCCTTTCTCTTTTCGCAGTGTCCACTCCCACCATGCGTGGAAGGTCCAAGTGCACCTTGTCCCGCCTGGAGGTACTGCTCATCATTTTCCTGACAATGATGACGGCGACCACCCTTGTGCTGCTCATCCTCCACTTTCTCCCCCGGGAAGGAGTCTCTGCTGAAGGCAAGCTGGGATGCTGCTGTCCCTCCCTCGCATCTTGCTGCAGCTCCTGGGAATCCAGAGGGTTTGCTGGAGTAGAGGGTGCTGCACAAGGAGAAGTGGAGGTTCTAGTTCAAGCACACAAAGGGGCCAAAAAACCCTTCTGGGGATTGAGATCCCAGGGTGCTGCTTCTTGTGCAAAGGTGCTGGTACAGAAAGCCCTGCCTTGGAGACCATACCACTATAAGGATGCAGCAGGTGACGGATGGACAGTCAGAACGGGCAGATTGCATTAAATGTCACCCCAGTCCAGCCACTAGACCTTGAGAGTTTATTTTCGCTTGAAGCATTCTCCTGCTTTTTAGAAAGCTTGAAAATGTATTAAAAAAAAATCAGAACGGGAGTTCCCAACTGAAACACAGAGAGGTGAGGAAGCTCTTACCTAAGGGACAATTTCGCACTTTTGTTCCTTTCCTAGTTGCAGGATCATGTCGACCTTGAGCAACAGGACAGGCGCGGTGATGTAAAGCAACGGGCCCAGGCTGAGGGTTACTGGTGCGGTGTGTGCAGGCTTCTCTGGGGGTGTGAGGTGTGCAGTCCTCCTGCACAACCACGGCCTGTTGCTTCTGGCTCTTGCGGCGGGAGCGGGGTGGCCAAGCACAAGAGCATCTCCCCAGCTTGGCTTTTGGAGGTCCCGATGCAGGGTGGGTCAGAGTCATCTCCTCTGTTTTAAATAACAGCCTAAGGAAAGCCAGACTGGGAAGACGGAGCATCCCATTAACCCACTACCCCATCTCTAAAAGCAGCTGGCAATGGATGACTAGGGAAGATTTTAAGAACAGACGAAGTCCGTAAATATTTTCCCACAGTGTTATCTCAGACTCCATTAATTTGTGGCTCTGGGACTTCTTGAGACAGAGACATTTCCTTTTTTTTTTTTTTTAATAATTTAATATCCCTTAGTGATGTCTTTTTTTCTTCCCTGACCTTCTCCAGATGCTTTGCCATGCTGCAGGGCTTCCACACGCTTGTGAGGGGTGGGAGGAGAGGCAGTTTCCTCTGGGAGGCCTTTTCCATGCTGTTTGTATGGAAGTTGCTGAACAGCTCTGCTGTGCCCTTTCTTGAGAACAGGGCACCAGGAAGTGTTGGATGCCCCAGGGATTTATGCATTGACACAGGGATGTGCATTACTTCACTGCTTTGATCTTCGGGCTTTTCCTGATAGTTTTTGACACGCTCCTACTTCCTTTCATTGCTGCTAAGCTGAATTTTTCATGGAAACTGCTGTTAAACCAGGGGCTTTGTTTCCTGCGTGGTAATGGTGGGCTCAGAGAATTTAATCTTCTGCAAAGTTAGGCTCCTCTTCTCCCTGCAGTGAATCATTATGCATTTCCCATAGCCCAGCAACTCTGTCTTGTGACTCCCTCTGCAATTCTTCGTGGCTAGCTTCGCTACCCTGAGCATCTTAGCAGTGTCAGCAAACCTCGTCGCGTTGCCACGTGGGTAGGTGGTGAGATCCTTCTACGTCGTGTACCAAGGGGCACCGGATCAGAGTTCTCCAGGTGATCTCACTCTCTGGGAGCCAGGATGGTCCCCTCTTGCCCTCTACTTCTTGTCTCTTACTGGGTTATTCATCCATCCCAGACCCTTCCCTCCTAACTCATCCTTGTGTAGCTTCTGAGGAGCCTGTGATGAGCTTCATTTGGAAAGCAGATGATATCAGCTGGATCTTCTTGTGCATATCTTGCTAAGTCCTCTGGTAGGCTGGTTAGGCATGCTTTGCCTTAAAAATAAATAAATGTGTTAACTTGTTCCATGAAAAATTCTGCTTGTTTATGTGTCCACTCATCTCTTCTTGCTCTAGATCCCAGTCAACCAACATCAACTCAGAACCCATCCACTGGTGACTCAGGAAACTACTTGATAGGCGTAGGCCGAGCGGACTGCACAGGGCCCATTGCAGAAATCCCTTTGGTATGTAGGGAGAATTGAGCAGGGGGTCTGTGAAATACCCATTTTCATCAGCATCTTGATATTCTGTGAAGAACTTCTGACTTTCTTGACTTTGGATAATCAGATCTAATTCCGCTGATCCTCTGTTAAATCTAAGTAGAAATGCACAGACAAATGATTATGTAGCTCAACATTTTGGCTATATGAGCCTGATGGACCTCTTGTCTTTCAGATGGGTTTTGCCAACGCTGACCAGGTGGGTGGTGGGCTTCTCACCCGACTCTACAGCCGAGCTTTCATTGTGGCGGAGCCTGATAACTCCAAACGAGTAGTGTTTGTCAGCGCTGACATAGGAATGGTATCTCAGAAACTGAGGCTGGAGGTAGGCGGATGGAAACAAGCAGCCTGCACAGTTTGACTTTATTCTGTGTTGTCACTGGTATTACCATTAATGCTGTAGTCATTACTAAATAATAGCAAATGTGCTAGCATGTTGTCCAGTTTGCTTTGGCATCTTCTTGCTCCAGAGACTTGAAGATGTGCTGTGTCCATACCGAGGCTACACTTTGCCTGTCCTTTTTTTTTTTCTTATCATGAACGTACACAGCACTCAGTGCCTGTGATTCTGATTACATAGGCATTCAGTGCCTGTGTAATTCTGGATTTCTAGCACCATTGCTAGAAATGGCAGAGAAATGAGGACTTGTTTGGCGATACGGGATTTGTTGCAAGTTGGCCATAGGGCTCTTCACTGCCGAGATTCAATTATTGTGAGGCTGTCAGCAAACTGATATCAAAATCCGCCAGCGTGAGAGTATCAGGGAGAAAGAAAAGAGTGGAGCCTCGGATGAGAGGCTTTTAGCAAGGGCTGATACGAATCTCTGCAGTTTTGGGGTGTGAAAGAGGGTTTGTGAGGTAACCTCTTTCTTCTTAGGTGCTCAATGAACTGAAGAGCAAGTATGGTGAGCTGTACCGCCAGGACAACGTCATTCTCAGTGGCACTCACACGCATTCAGGGCCTGCTGGCTATTTCCAATACACCCTCTTCTGGATAACTAGCAGAGGACTAATCAAACCATCCCTTCAGGCTGTCGTGAAAGGCATTGTAAAGGTTGGTGTTTCTGCTTCGTTGAAATGACATCCCCTAAACATGGAGAAAGGCAAAGGAGAGGTGTCTTCCTGACTGAGGGAGCTCTTGCTGGGGTAGTCATCATAGCAGCTTCAATGCTGTGATTTTAAAAAGTGCACAGAGACAGGTTGGTATTTACCAATGAAATCAGGTTGACAAACAAGAGCCTTAAATATTTCTTTTAAAAATTACAGTTCTAATTCATTTCAAAATACAGATTTTTTTTTATAATATTCATTCATTTTCTGGAAATTTAGACTGCTACAAAAAGCAAAAAAAAAAAAAAATCTCCAAAGTTAACATGATAAGATTGGAAATTGGGAAGAGGGAGAGAGAGAGGGAACAGGTAGTTGTTCCAGGTGGTCTCACATAGACCTTATAATTAATTCTCCTTCCCATGCAAGGGCTAATATTTGCTGCCTTCCTTCTTTCAGAGCATTGATATAGCACATGAGAACATGAAGGCAGGAAGGATTTTTATAAACAGAGGCACTGTAGAAAACAGCCAGATCAATAGAAGCCCTTATTCTTACCTCCAGAATCCAGCATCTGAACGAAACAGGTAAAGGCTCTTCTGATGGTAGAGAAACAGAGCCTGAAATGGGTTCTCTGGTCAAGTTTGTAACCCAGATGTCATGGAGCAGGTGCTTTTCGTCATCTGTAGGAGGATGAGGATGACATTGTCACCATCTTGGGTGCTCATGTGTCTGCTTCCTGCTAAAATGGATTGTACGAATGGGAGAATAGTGGTTGGGTCTCCTGGAGGCTGGAGCCTCCTGCTCCCTCCAGTGCAATGGGTGCATTGCTTAAAGATCTGACCTTGAAGAAGATGTTGATGAAAGATGTTAGCATTTGAGTTAGGCGGCATTAAAATGCTGTCCTTTGTGCACGAGATAGTTTCAGAGAGAGGTCCACTTCCTGGTGGAGATGGATGGCCAGAGAAGAGGTCTGGTGATCCAGAGAGGCAGGGCTTGATATTGATGAGAGCTGATGTTATGATACCTGGCTTTCAGCAGGTATTTTCAGATGTTCCTCTCACGTCTACCTGCACTCTAGCACTAGCCTCTTGCTCAGCTGGTAGAGTTTAGAAGTGTGTGAGCACCACAGAGCAAGACCAGTGCCCAAGTGTTTAATGGGATTTCCCCGCTTCGCTGTTGCAGGTATTCATCCAACACAGACAAAGAAATGGTGTTGCTGAAGATGGTAGCTGCAAACGGACAGGAGCTGGGCCTTATCAGGTACTGACTACAGAAGGAGCAGGTTTCCCCCCTCCTGAATCCCACTAGCACCTGGTTCATCTCTAGCTTTCTGCCCATGTCCTGACCTCTGCTTACAAAATAAACTGCACCGAGATCCCTCTTTGACTTGATCTCTTGGTTATTTTCTTTTAAAGACACATATTTCCTGCTAAGCACACGCCATTCCCGGTGTCGAACACTGTGTGCTGAGTTATCTTGTCCAAGAGGTAGCGTTTACAACACCTGTCCTATCAGGCGATCTGAGCCCGAGCATTTGGCTGTTCAAAGTTTAGAGCTCAAGGCCAGGCAAGCGCAGCAACTCACAGCCACGAAGTCAACAGCTTGATTTCCTCATTCAGAAACCGCAAGTGAGGGTCTGACAGCATTAAGAGGAGCAGGAAGGTTTTCCTATGTAGTGTTGTTTTTATTTTCATCTCATGTCGCAACCAAGTAAGCTAAAAAATCAAAGGTCTTTCATGAAGTGCCATGGAAGAGAGACCCAGCTGCCTATATTCAGCAGGCACAAGGAGTTATCACAGATCCTCCTTCTGTTTGATAACCTCAGCTCTTTGGAGGGCTGAGCAATTGTTGAGCAGCTGAAAACATGGGTTGGCATGTGGAGGGAGCTGTGGAGCAGCAATCTAAAATAGTGGGATCAAAATGGTATTTGTGATCTTGAAGGCAGAACCATGGTGCACGGGTCATCCATTCACAGCTTTTCTTTCCCCTGCACTGTCCTAGTTTTGAACTTTCCCAATCAGGAAGGGAGAGGATGGGACAAACTCTGTCTGGCTTTACTAATCCTGCCCTGGATATCCACAGTCTTGATTTTAGTACACAAAATAGCATTCTCCTTAGTCAATTGCAAACATATAGATGGAATAACAGATTTCCTATATGTTTCTTCTTCTTTTTTTTTTTTCTCTCTGTAGCTGGTTTGCAGTCCATCCGGTCAGCATGAACAACACAAACCACCTGGTGAACAGTGACAACGTGGGCTATGCGTCTTACTTATTTGAGCAGGAGAAGAACAAAGGGATGCTGCCGGGAGAGGTGCGAGTATTTTCAGGTTATCAGAAAGTAATGGGGAGGGACAGGCACCAGGTTGATTGGTACCTATGGCCTTTGCACCTTTTGACTTATTTACTGTTTTTGTGCCTGTAGCAAAAAGAAATTGCAAGGTGTGCTCATGGCTTTCTAAAATAATAGATGAAGAGAGCGTGTATCTCCAACTTTGAATCAGCTGCCCGTTCCCATTTTAATACCCACATGTAGTTCATACCAAAGATGGAAACTGAAGAAAGCTTACTCATTTCCTACTTGCCATCATTTCTTTTTATGGTGAATTATCTAAAAGCTTTTAGCAAGACTCCACTGTAGTGCATAGTTATGGGTGCAAGTCAGTGCGAGCTCACATGCACTCAAAGTATGCATGGAAATGTTTGCAGGTTTGGGTATTCAGCTGCCTAGCCTGCTGGGCACGTTGCATCTAACAGCCTTGCAAGAGGACAGCTAAAGAGCTGATAATGTATTTAAATAGCCAGTGTTGACGCATGGTATCTGTAAAATGAGAGCATCATCCGAGCGAGATGACTTCAGCCAACACTTGGTGCATGTAACGAGCCTTGCTTTATGGGTACTGCTTGGTGTTAGCGCATTTGGTCAGTTGTCACTGGCTCTCACCATATAAATCTGTCAGAGGAAAAGCCTAGCAGGAGGAAAATCATGTACACGGTGTTATGTTGACCCATTTGCATCTGGTCAGCAACATTAGGAGTGAGGAACAAGAATAAATTGCTGCTGCTGAGCTAGAAGAGGTAGAAGAAATCTTATCCAGAAAATAAAATGGTGTGAATATCCCCCTTCACCACCAGCAATGGTACTTTTCTCCTCCCAGGCTTTCAGAAATATACGCCGATCAGCTGGCTATATCAGTCTTGGCATTTTGTTGATTACTTCTAACCTTAAGGGAAAGATGCAGGTGATTATTTGCAGTCACGGCAAGGCACTAAAACCCACCTGCCTACGTCTTTATGTGGCAGGGCTCTTTTGTTGCTGCTTTTGCATCCTCCAACCTGGGAGATGTGTCTCCCAATACCAGAGGCCCATTCTGCATAAACACGGGGGATTCATGCGATAACCCGCAGAGCACCTGTCCTGTAGGTGGGGTAAGTATATATTCCTCATCAACGTTGAGTTTGATGAAGGGGCAAACTTGTGCTGGAGGTGCAAATTGGGAGCCAGGTGGTGGATCACTCTGCAGGAGGAGGACGTGGAATAAACCACCTGTTTCTTAGATAATTCAGGGCACTCATTTCTATAACTTACCCTGTCTTGTCCTAGCACACTCATCTTTCTGGTTGTTCACTTGAAGTCTAAATAAAATGAGAGGTTAACGTAGTAACTGGGTGCCCAAAATTTTAGTTAGCTCTCAAAAAGTGATTACTTCCCACATTCTGAAAATCACTTACTGCACCCTCACTTTGCAGTTATGTTCTTGATGTTAACAGACTACTGGAATTAAAAACGGGATTTCTTAACAGGCCAAGATGTGCATGGCCATGGGTCCTGGTACTGACATGTTTGACAGTACAAGAATTATAGGGCAAAATATCTACTTGAAAGCAAAGGTAAGCAATGTTTTTGCAACGAGAGCATGCATGGATGTGGTTATATATATTAAAAAAAGGCATAATCTATTTGAGCATAGGTCAGAGGAAACATGAGGAAAATAATGACACGGACGGAGGACTCCTAGAAGAGCTCAGAGATGTCATCACAAACCACTTGTCCACTGAGTTTGCCATTGCTCTCCTAAACTAATGCAAGTGTGAGCTAAAATGTGTTTGCTTAAACACCCTTGACAGGTGTTCATCCCTACCACATTTTACTTTGCATTCATTCAGCTGGTGTGCTCCAAGCCATTGGACATCTTGCACATCTTCGGTCCTTTGGAACAAACTTCATCACCAGTTCCTCTTCTGTGGATCTACATTACTTGAGGGTTGTCAGCAGGAGGCTGTGTCAGCCGCAGGTTCGGGGAGGGCAGCCTGTAAGGCCTGGAAGAGATCCAGTAAAGGATAGAGCAGAACGCTTGATGATGGCTGCTGCCTTTTGATTCCTCTTTCTGCTTTGTCAAGGATTTCCACCCTTTCCAGAGGTCGTTCTGTGTTGGTAAACTGGATTGCTCTAGTTTGCTGCCTTTAACACTGCTTATTGCATGGCTGTGCTTTAGGAGATATACACAAGTGCTTCCCAGGAGATCACAGGACCGCTCAGCTCAGCACACCAGTGGGTGAACATGAGTGATGTCTCCGTGACGCTAAATGCCACACACGTGGTAAGGGCAGGAGCTCCCATGGATATAGGCCTGGGATTGCTCACCAAGGAAGAAATGTTATATTTTTTATAGCAGGACTTAATACACTGATGGCAACTTCTTTTAAAATATCTTTTGTTTTTCTTTTTCTTTTTTTTAATTAAGGTTAAAACATGTAAACCAGCCTTAGGACACAGCTTTGCTGCTGGTACTATAGATGGAGTGGGGGCTTTCAATTTTACACAAGGTAATTTAGGGACCAGGCATCCGTAGGGTATAAACGGGAGAAATATGGGTCATCCCCCAGATAGAGTCAAACCCTCAGAGTTATCTGGAGAACATCAACGGTTGCTTGAAGCACAGGCTCCAGAGGGTGTCATCTTCTGCTGCTCTTGCGAGCGCGGCCACATTTGCCAAAAGTCTCGTATGGCAAGGATGTGACCATGCTTTGAAGGAAGGAGGGGAGAAGGAGAAAGAGACAACCTTGAGGCAATCTCCTCAATTTGTTCTCACTACCCAGATACTGCCAAGTGTGGAGCTGGTGGAGCTCAGCTAGGCTAAATCTCATCATTTCAAACCCTCCCACCTAGAAAAGGGAGATGCCCAGGACCTGCTGAGAAATATCCTATCCTAGATAAGGAGGGAGTGGTTAGTTAAGAAGCCTTCTGCCCAATAGCTGCTGTGGGAACTGAAGGATCAGTGGATGGAGATGTTTTTCCCCTCAGGTGCAGTAGAAGGAGATCCATTCTGGGACAGCATCCGGGACCAGCTGCTGGGAAAGCCATCCAACGAAACACAAGCATGCCACGACCCCAAGCCAATCCTCTTAAGGACTGGAGAGGTGAGGATACCCTGCAACATGACAAATGACAACATTTGTCCTTGCCAAACTTTCCCCAAATCCCACTTTTAACCCTAAAATGAAGCTGATGCTTCATCTTTCACCTGCAGTTCCTTTAGCTTCAAGGCAAATGTAATGTCCTGCAGAGAGTAAAGTCTTTGTGTCCAAGGTCTTCTAGAGCAATCAGGCAATGCCATCAGGAAGAGGCATTTCCTTGTTACTCCTTTCAAGAGCCTCATTGAAAGCTTTCCTAGTGCCGCTTCATTCTCAATGGGTTCCTTGGCTCTTCTTGTTAGAGGTTCTAGTGCAGAGCATCCTCCCGTCCCAGCTTCTCCTTTGAGGTTGGTGCTATTAAGAATAAACTACATTTTATTCTTACCGCTCTAACACCTTCAAGCAGCCTTTTATAGAAGCCCTGGCAGGCCTCCTGCTTCTAAGTCATTTGACAAATTTTTAACTTGCATTTTATACCCCAGCAAGTTGCTCCTCAGAAAACTTTGCATCTTTTTTCTACTAGGATTTGCAATTAGTTTGCAAGAGCCATTTCACTGTCAAATTGCTGGTGGTCTTGATTTCCTTTTATGTCCTTTCCATGCAGGTGAGGAGTTTCTGCTCAGGAAGTTTCTGTTCTTAGGTGCTACCTTGTCTTTATTCACCTGTTTTGCTGCACAAATGTTTTTGCCTCTCCCACGGTACTTACACACATCTCCCCTTAATTGTGGGTCATGACCAAGCAACGTCTTGTGATATAGGATGTAAAATATGTTTTTCATGACTGTCTGTAGTATGCAAAGTACTTTCATTTGTCTGATTTAAGTTATGGAAAAGAAAATGCTTCAGCTATCTATCTTTCTCTTATGCTATATAAAAGTCATAGGCACGTTTTCTTCTCACCTTAGATGACTTGGCCTTACCCATGGCACCCTGACATTGTAGATGTTCAGCTTGCTACCATTGGATCACTAGCAATTGTTGCTGTTCCTGGAGAGCTAACGTATGTATTTTTGGTCTTGCTCTATATATCACAGCTGGCACATTTTCATTCACCCACCCCTGCTGTACTTTTATGTGGGGGTATATAATCTAATGTGGCAGAGAGGTTAAGAATTGTCTCCAGTATATGGTAGCTCTGCAAGCACTACACATATATGTCCACTGTATATAGTCCCTTGCATAGTATCTCCTCTGGGTACCTAGGGATTCCCATTTTCTTCTTCTGGCTGGCTATGAAATGTCTTGAGATGTTTTGATTGAACTCACAACAGAGAAGACCCAAGTACCAACAACTTGCTGGTGGCCTCCCTTCTGTTCTGCTCTCATGTCAAATGTAAAGCTAGCCTGGACCTCAAGTACTCAGATACACCAAGAAAAGCTCAGATAAATAGCCAGAAATGTGGACTTAGAAAAAAAAAGATTCTTTCTTTAACTCCTTCTGTGTTCCCTGCTTTCCTGGAGATTGACATTATTCCCTTAATACCTCTAGGACCATGTCTGGACGTAGACTACGGGAAGCTGTTAGAAGTGTAAGTAGTTGAGGAAAACATTTGTCAAGACAGCAGTGCATATTTCTTGATTATGCTGTTGTTTTTTCTTTTTTTTTTTTTTCCTCTTTTTCTCTTGTCTCCTCGCATTTGGGATTCTGGGTCTCACATCTTACAGAGGTTTTTCCTTCTCATAATTGTTTCGTGCATATTTGTGCATGCACTCACTGACACGCAATAAAGATGCACATCCTCTCCCAAAAGAAGCAAACCTATCAGATTTCAATTTGTTAAGTCAACACAAAAATTAAACAACTGAAACCTCAGTGTAACTGATGCCAACATAAGTTTTGTCTCTGAAGCCTCTGTGGTGCTCTGGTAACATGAGAACATCTCAAAGAAAATTGCTTGTATATATGAATATATACGTATATTCACTCAGCAGACTGATTTATCTTATTTTCAGCTGTAGTCTGAATACCTTCTTAATCATGTCTGCTGTCCCTATAATTCTCACAACCTGTTATAGCGCTGTGGATTTTAGAAGAATACAGATATTAAAAGAAACTGTATTCAATTTGTTGCATTTATGGGAGGATGACATAATTTATCCTCTCTCTCTGTGAGAGGTTGTCTTGCTCTATAACATCTTGATTTCCATTCAGTGTCAATAAAGGGCAAATTACATTTGTAGGGTCATTTTAGTGAACCTCTGCCTCTCGTAACTTTGTGTTCTGTCCTAATAAATAATAATATATAATTGTGTCTTAAACAGTTATTGCAAGAAGAGTTATTTAACTATTTTCTTAGGAATTTGAGTCTCATGGAACATCAGGGATGAATGTTGTAATTGCAGGCCTGTGCAATGTCTATACCCACTACATCACCACCTATGAAGAATACCAGGTAAACAAAATTGCCTATTGAATATGTTTGGTTGGATTCACATTTCACTATATGGAATGATACTGATGTGTAATTATGCACATGTGTAGTAGTTTTTCTGTGCCACAAAAATCTGGAAAAAAAAACATATGAGCATCTTTGGTAGAAACCCTTACTTCTTTATTCTGGCCAAGATGAAATAGCCGAAGTGTCAATGTGGTTTCCATTGCTGAGGACAAGTTCTTGATAGCTCTGTATGGAATTGGTCAGATATACTGAATGAAGCTTTTCTAGGTTCAGGTCTTTTCAGTGTTTCTTCTAATGACCTGGATGAGTTAGAAATGATCTCTGCAAGTTGGAGAAATTGCCAGAAGAAATGTCTGGAGCTGTAGGACCATGAGGTGACTGTGAATCTGCACTGTCACGCTGCTTTAGAAAAGGCAGCAATATGGCTTGTAAGCCTCAAGAAGTAGTTTTAAAGGTCCTGCAAGAACATGGCAGATACTCTGCTGTAAGAAGGCCATGGACCATTGAATGGATCCCAAAGGCTCAGAAATCCCAACCAGGAAGGGGAGGGTGGAAGAACGACTGGGGTGGTTCTGCACTAGAAGTGGGAGAGGAGAAGTCCTACATCATAAATATTAAGGAAATACAAAACTGTCAGAAATGCAGGAGTTATAATTTGTCTCCCTTTTTTTCTGTGGTGGATAGAAGAACGAACTTAAATTGCAGCAGCAATATTTGGGCGAGCTGTTAGGCTGTCTTCCAGACAGTAAAGGGTACTGGAGGTGGATCACCAGGGAGGTGCATATCTCTGTCACAGATGAGTTTCTAAACTCCTCAGTAACCTCCTGCAGGTATAGTGCTCATCTCATCTTTGGGGAGTAGAATGAGCCTTATAAACTGCCCAAGACACCTTCAAACCCTCCTTTTTCAATTTTGTCCCTTTCTAGGTTCAAAGATACGAGGCGGCATCAACTATTTATGGGCCACACACTCTTTCAGCTTATATGCAGCTGTACAGAGGACTGGCAAAGGCTATTGCTACGGTAATTAAAGCTTTCTGCATGATGCTAAAGGCTTTCAAATCCTGTAAAAGGTGATGACTATATTTGTTCTTCAGTGAGGTTATGCAAACACTACACTTTCATTTCTTAAAAGTAGCCCCTTTGAGAAATCCTCATATGGAATGATATGGAACTCCTATGATGAGATCCTTGTATCACTCGAATTCTGCAAATTTTTGACACAAAATTTAGACCATAGGTGCCTCCAGTGATTGAGGCTTCCACATCACTAAGTCTTAGCATGGCCTAACATTGCTGCTTTTTCACCAAGAGGAAAAAATGTGCTGCATTTCCACTATACATGGCAATATTTGTTACCATTGCATCTGTGGACTGTAAGAATGTGCATGGCTATATCTTATCTGTGAGTAGGAGCTGCCTGCCGTAGCATATTGGGGCAGGAGGCTTAGGGAGATCTGAAGAACAGGGTAGCTGGTGTCCAGCCAGGATTGTTTCTGGACATGGAGCACAAACAGGCATCTTCTTACCCTGCTTTTACATTCCCTTCATTGCTCTTGTTGTTAAAAGCGATTTAAACACTGATCTGATTTATCACACATCTACTTGACATCAGCAGTGTTGTATTTTAAGTACATGTTTCTTCTCCCAGAATACAGTTCAGGATTTGCCAAGTGGTCCAGAGCCCCCACTCTTCAACATAACTAGTCTGACCTTGGTGCCTGCTGTCATTGCTGATAGGACTCCATCAAACAAGGCGTTTGGGGATGTGCTGCAAGAAGTGGGACAACAGTATCGAGTGGTGAGAGCTTAAGGATATTTGCTAGCTCTTGTTTAGGAAAATCTGCTTAAATTCTTTGTTTAAATTCTAACTCGCCTTCCTAAAGAGTCTGTTTTCTAAACGACTGTGGGGGATCTTGAATAGGAAAGATACCATTGCTCTTAGTGGACTTGCATCATGGTTGAAAAGGCAAACTTTACATGTAGAAGATGAACTACTTTGTCAAAAACCTGGCTGTCCTCTGCTGTCTGTGCGTACATTGTCCTTTGCTTTCAGTACTTTCCAAACATGAATACGGTCAAAGAGCCCTCTTCAATTTTAAAAGCTGTTTCAAAGTGCTTCTCTACTTCCTCACCTTTTAGTAAAGAATCACACTCATCCCTTGAGTGTGAAACTTGCACATGAACAAGATTCACCCCCAGCGCGGGGTTAACCCCGCTAGCGACTTGATGAAGCATCAGTACCGTTAAGGCTCTGTTTCCATATAAAGCTGTAGCTGATGATTAAATGATTTCTTTACAAGCAGAAATCGGGTCTCCTCTGATGTCTCTGTGATAGGAGGAAAATGAGAAGAAATGTCAGAAAGTGTTCACTGTTTTCAATACTTCATTATTTAGATAAGATGTTCAGAGCAATGGCTCTCGTCTCATCAGCCTGACTCCAGGACAGAGGTAGCAAGAATGCAGGGAGGTCTTGTGTTTTTAGTCTCACTTATTTCCTTCCCTTCTCTACAAAGAAACTTTATGTGAGACCATGTGGAACTCCTGTGGCAAGTAGGACGAGTGGAATGGCATGGTGCAGCATGCAAATTCAGGATATTTTGTTCATTTCCAGGAAGTGAAATTATATACACACACAAAAAAATCTCTTATCAATGGTTTCTTCAAAGGATTTTTTAATGTGCAACATACCTCTCAGTCTTTAAAACAAATATTAATATTCTCACAGGGAGAAGTTGCTGAAGTAACTTTTGTGAGTGCAAACCCAAGGAACTCTGCGGAAAATGCGGTAAATAGCTAGAATTGGGGCTATTATGGACTGATTAATATTTACTTACTGCTGCTGCCTTGTACGATGAATTATTTCTTCCTTTTTCTTTTTTTTCTTTGCTGGCTGTCGAGTAATTTCTCCCATAAGCTTGAGTTCAGCCAATTCACATCTCCACAATGTTTTTGGAGCAAAGTCCTTATTTTAGACATGTATCTGTGTGTTAAAAGTCACTTGGTCTTGCATTGGACATATCAAATGTGAAAACTCAGATATAGGTCATTCATGATGTCTTCACACTGCTCAAGATGAAGTCACCTGGATAAGGCATTGATACAGATGTCTTTTATCAGTACCCAGTACCTCTTTGTAGGAGCAAGAATAGGCTCCTTTCTTCATGCTATCAGCATGGTATATGATTTTAATGAAACAAAGATGATGGGAAAAGTACCAAATGTATCCCTTCAGTCATCTTGGATAGAAATAGTTGGCAAATGTCTTGTTTGCCTGTGCTCTTGTTAATGACCAGGGTTTCTTTTTTAATACGTTTTCCATTTCATTTACAAATTGGAAGTTATGCTTTGCAGGAAACATAAGCATTTTTGCTAAGAACTTCCAATTTTGCCAGTAAAATTGCGTGTGCATAGCCTGTTCTCCAATTGCAACAAAGCACTAGAGAGGGAACATGCCCGTCCCTTCCGAGCTTCTCTCATTTTTATTTCAGACAGAACACAACTTTCTGACGGTAGAGAGATACATCAACAGTTCCGGGAGCTGGAGTGTGGTCCATAATGATGCCTCCTGGGAGACCAGGTGAGTGACTTATAGTGCCAGATCTCACTCTTGCAGAAGCTCCACAGAGTAACTTGAGTTTAGCACAACACACTCCCTCTCTGATCTCCAAACTGAAGGCTGCTCTTACCCCTGGAGATGCTGCTCTCTGGGGACAGATCAGTCTGCTTTTGTGCAGTTACCATGTCCAGAATAATTTGTCGTCAGGTAATTATATTTTGCTTGCAAGACTTTTAGAGGGTTAAAGTTTGCTTTAAGACTAGAGTCAGCAGATCACAAGAAGTGGGAACTATGAAAGGTTCAGGAAACAGAAGAATTTTTATAAGAACATGCTAGCTAGCTTTGCTGTACATTATACAGTAGATATGGTAGATCTTTCAAAAGATGTTCAGAAGCAAATAAAGTTAAGGTTGGAGACATCCAGCATAAGGAAAAAGATCCATTAAGCATCAAAGCTTGTGTCACCTTTTGTCAAGTTTTTTCTATTGTTTGAATCAAAATGGCATTTACCTACCTGTCTTTCCAACCTATCTGTAAGAGAACGCTCCCCTGGAAAACATCTGTTTTGGGGGATCTTCTCACCATGCAACACTCTAGAGCAAACAGATGTCCTCAAAGATCAGAGAGGCAATGTTCATGGTAGCTTCAGCTCATCACCGAAATCTCTCTCTTTTATTTATTTATTTTTAACCTATTGCTCTCTAAATCTCTCCTGGTAGCCAGAACTCCGGGCATCTCTCCACTGTCTCCCATTGACACGCTCTAATAATGTAACACAATTAAATGTGGTTTGAGCAGACTGCCTGTTTCTGCTGATAAGAGGAATTATTTTGCCTTTTCCTTGTCTGAAGGTACTTACCAGAAGGCAAAAAAATGCAGATAGCAGTATTTTCCTTCCTCGTGCCCCATGAAGGCAGAAAGCAATATAAGAAAGCAGAAATAGTTTCGTAATTAGTGAAAACAGGGAACATCATTAACTTTGAAAGCAAGGTGATAGTCATGAGGAGCAGCGAACATCCTTACATGACACCAGTGAAGTCAGACTGTGGTGGTATGTTGTGTTTTTTTGATTGGTTGGTTGTTTTTTTATTATTTTAGAAAAATTTAAATTTGATCCCACTGACTTATGGATTACAATAGGAGAGTAACACAAGTGAACACCTTATTCATTACAGAGCATTAAATAGGTTATAGACACTTTTGCAAAATGCATGTTTTCAGGGGTCAAAAGACAGGGAGGTTTACTGAAGGAGGAGCTGCTTTTGGGGAATAAGATCTCTGCTCTCTGTTCTTCGACTTGCATTCACCCCTGTCATAAAGATAAGCTCCATTTGGGTGCTGCTTTTGCTGGGTGCTCTTTTGATGTCTGCAGGGAGAAGGGTTTAGCCCATTTGGAGTCTGGGGTGGAAGCATGGGTTATAAGCTATAACAGCTTCCTTGTAGCCATTTAGGAGCTTGATTTAGGAGGCTGAACCTAGCTAGAGGAGAAGAATATCACAGGCCTGCCTTTAGCAAACAACAAACAGAGATTAAGTGTGCTTCAATCCCTGTAAGCTCCTCTTGCATGAAGACTCTTCTGCAGCTATGGCCTGAATCCCAGAGCAGGGATCGTGGTTCACTGAACTCCCAACAAAATTTCTTGGACCATTATTTTTAATTAACAAAAGAAAATTTTCTAAATATATTATCATTTCCTATTTCCCACCACAGCCTGTGAAACTAATGAATGAGCTGAGCTCTTCTGTTGCAGCCTTTCACTGGTAGACACAGTAAAAAATAAAAAAGCAAATTCATCTTTTTTGTCATCCCAAGAGGTACTCTCTGATGGCTGGGAAAAAAAAAAAAAAACCCTCACCACCACATATTGGGATGTTTTTTTTCTGGCTATCTACAGCCCTGAGATTGAGCAGAAGTGTTTGGTCCCTTTCTGACCTGAAGTTCACTCCTAAAGTGAAGAAAATATCTAGGAATTTTTGACATGGAAATAAATAGATTTCCACCGTGTTGTTTCAGTAGGTTCTGTCTTCCAGTAGACTTGAATATCTTTTGGGGCCTACTGAGGTATAAAGATGGTAGGAAGTGTGTGCTGTCGCTTGTTTGCCTCTTTAGAAAACATCTGCCTTAGGGTTTGTTGGTTGGTTGGGGTTTTTTTTGTTTGTTTTTATTTTTCTCTCAGGTACTTCAACTTCTTGAAAACTTACCAAATGAGCCTACAAAAGAAGGTGAAAGTTTGTAAAAAAAAGACTGAGCTAAAAAATGTCAGATGCTTTTCAGTAACCTTCAGCCATTTGTATAAACAGTTGGTTCTCTACTCCCTCTTTCCCGGGAAGATGAAACTTGTGAATATTACTCACGGGATAATGTTGTAGGGGGTTTATGATATAGAGTTGGTAAAATGACAATGCTCTGGTAGAAATATTTTCTATCTACAGAAAACTATTTCTACTATTTCTATCTAACCAATGACTTGTTCTATATGTTTGATATGTCTCAGCCTCTCCTTGCTTTGTGGTTTGAGTTGATTTGTCAATTAATGCTGCTCCAATAGCCTGAGTATATGAAAAAAACATATTTTTTTAAAAAAAATCTTAAGATATACTGAACTTAAGTTATTTTTCTTGCTTGACTTAGATTAGTCAGTCTGTACTCTTGAGCTATTTCAACAAATGAAAGTGGATTTTCTTGTTGACTCTTGTTCTCCATTTCTCTTAGATTTTACTGGACAAAAGGATTACTTGGTCTAAGCAACGCAAGGGTTGAATGGCATATTCCCAGCACCACCGAGCCAGGCACCTACAGAATACGATACTTTGGGCACTACAAGAAAATACCGCTTTTCCAGCCTGCTGTCTATTATGCATTTGAAGGCACATCTTCAGTGTTTGAAATCATAAGTCTATAGGTGATCTCCTTCATTAGAGGGACTTTTTTTTTCCTTAAAACAGCTCATTTGACATCTGTAGTGTTCAAATTCCCTCCTGGGAGCTTTTCTTACAGTGTTTGTCACTATTTGTGTCGTTTTTGTCCCCCAGGTGCTGTTGGTTGTCCCAACCAGCAGTTCAACTCAAATAGTTTGGTAAATTTTCATTTGAGTTGTTCTCATCCTGGACTGTTCTCCTTGTGGTTGATCATTATTGTAATAAAAGATCAACTGTTTTACTTTAGTCTTTAAACAAATGTTTACTGCTTGTGAATATTTTCTCTCTCGGAGAGAATTAATGGATAATGGGAGCTAATCCACATCATAAAATAGTCTACAAAATTGAGTCCAGTCCTTAAAACTGAGAAGAGCTGCTCAAGAGCCACAAAGCATTGAAAGCGAAGACTCCATAATCAAGGGTATAAAAGGGCCCATTCTCTAGCTTGGAGAGGGAAAAAATAGGATAGATGCTCACCAGAAAAATTTAAAGATTATTTTTTGATTAGTTTGGTTTAGGATATTTGGAGAACATATTCCCTCAGAATAAACCCGTCTCAATCAAGTGTGAATGTGTGTATGTGAAACAGAGTTATGTGAAGTGATTTGGACACAGTTTAGCATAAATCGGCAGCCTCAGTTTCAAAGATGTGGGCCAAACTGATGAAGAAGTCTTTTGAAAGCTTTCAAATAATTATCAGTAACCCAAAGAAGCCACAAATGGGTTGGAGGAGAGCATCCTAAAGGATTATATGTGCTCACTCCTATGGTCTTCCTCAAGCATCTGTCAGTGGCATGATTCAGAGGCACGATGCCGGGTGAGAAGAACCTCAAGGGTGACTTTGACCGACCTTGTATCCTTGTGCTCTGCTCCTGGCCAGACATCCTGCCACAGCGTAGAGCCTAACCAGGTAACAAACAGTGTTTCACCCTTTAGCTATCCCTTTGGGGCACCTCAAAATTAAGAAAAGTGTACTTACCTCTAAAAAAGGATATTTCCATAGGAGAGTGTCATAGGACCACGGCAGACATAGGTAGGAATGGCAGTTTGGGAGCAATCCCTTTGTGAAGGAGAACCTGCAGCTGATAGTCAGAGGTGGCTGATGTCCAGCAAAGCTAGATTTTATGGCAACAAGAATTTTCTATTATTTCAAGTGCTTGAGATGGAAATGGGTGAAGACTTAAGAGTTCTGTCTGGAGTGCCCCTTGCTGACAAAACAGCTTTGAATGGACCTCAGTCTCCTTCATTTTGGCACTGAGAAGGTTGCAAAGTGGGCAGCTCTGGCCAGATGAAGGGCTCTCCGGAGCTGGCAGCCAAAACCTGGAGAGAGCTGTGATCACTTGTAGGAAGGAAGGACTTTTGCTGTCCCTTGAACCCATGGGAAGGATCAAGGGAGGGTTTTTTTTTTCAGCTGAAGGGATTTTTGAGGACCTGCCTGGTCAAAGTCACAGCCTCTTCAGGTGCTGGTGACAGGTCCCTTCAGCGGTCTTCCCGAGCTGTGGTAAGCAACATTCACTTCCCAGCCTCTGATTCCCTCCCAAGCTCAGGAAATCATAGATTTGGTGGCCATAGCAGAAAATATGGTTACCAGCTCTGCTTTTAGGGTTCTCATAGCACTTTATGGCTAAACAACTGTAAATGTTTAATAAGGTCCAGCAGCGTATATTAATTTTGTATGCGATCTCTTTAATTCTTCAGAGAATCATTAGTCAGATAATTTTGCCTCTCTTTAGAACCAGTAGGAGATGATGAATTATTCATTTGAAACAGTCTTCAATCAGTCACAGAGATCCCTCTCCTAAGGAGCTTGAAGCAATCTCAATATTGAGTCAGGAAAGTGCACGCTTCAGAGAAGCAATACCGGGAATTAAATCCCTGAAGATGCTCTTAATGTCCTTTTCTAGTAACTCACCTGGCCAGTCTGTCCTCTCGCCTTTTGGTTACAAAATTGCTCTGACATCAGCAGGCACATAGGACCTTCACGTAAGTAGGACTCTGCTGTTTCCCCACCTGGTGGAAAACAGTGCGGTGCCCTCAGTTAGGGCCTGGTCATTTTTGAGACACAGTAGCAGCTCCAGGGTAAATTTTATCTCCTAAAACTTGATCTTAAAAGAGATTTTTTAGAAAATGGGGAGTTTTTTAAAGAAAACTCACAGTAGAGCAACGGAAGTTGTGATAGCCAGAATTAGGGTATGTGGAGAGTCCCCCAGTGCATACGTGTGGGGCAGCACTGTTTCCCCTTAGAAGAAGTCCTGCCACTTTATAGCATGGTGTTTCCACAAAGACTTTTTGAAACAAAAATGCCGAGAAATGAGTCCAACATGATGGATGTAAAATAATGCAGTCGGGGAAGCATCTTTTTGGGATCATGGTCCTTAGCAGATACTTAACAGAAAGGAGAAACCTTCACCTTTCTCTAATGTATCCTCCAGTCCTCCAACTTACAGGCTTATTTGTGTATTTGTCATGGCTGGACACTGGCTTTTTCAGTTTTTTGGGGGGTGGGCGGGGAGGTTTGGAAATCTTTGTAAATTTTGGCTTCCTTTTGTCTCCACATGCCATAGTTTGAGAAACACCACTGAGAAAAGTCCTTCTCATTTGTTGCTCAGTAGCAGGGTGGATTTCATCTCTCTTGTGCAGTGAGACCTTCTCCCTCATCTGTCTTCGCATCGGCAGCCTTTAGTAGGATGCTGTGATTGGATTCAGCAGCCACTAGGTGCCACTGCGGCTTTACAGCAGACAGAGATTGTCGCTGAACAGAGTGAAAGTGTTTATATATTAAAAAAAAAAAATCAAGTATTTGGGCAAACTGCCAGGTGTTAAATTTAGAATTACTCATTGCAGTTGCTCTTGTCTCTCTGGAGTCACTCTCCTTCAATGTATAGACATTTGTGCACTGTGTACGTGCTCAGAGGGAGCATGCAAACTCCATTTTTTCTTCTTTTTTAAATTTTGTCATGCCACATAAATTAACGTGAACTTTAGGAACTCACTCGGGAGGTGCTGGCTCCTGCAGGCTCATCTCAGCTCACAGAGTTTCTTTCAATGAGCTCTCTCTGCTCTGCCAAACTCATAACCATGCTATGGTTTTCCTCCCATGTGATGTCTCATCTGTCCAAAGTTGCCAGTAGTATTTGGAAACTCTTCTGCAACATCCAAATTAGGATCTGATCCAAGGCACTAGGGTAAAGGAAAGAATCCCTCTGCTATCTCTGGACTTCGATGCAGGCTTTCAGGAGTTTGTTGTTGCCTTTGCATGTCCTTGGGAAACTGCCTGCCTTTCAACATCTTCGTGACTGGGGCTATGTAGGCACAACATGTGTTTGCATCCCATCAATGTTGTTCTTCCCATGTTTCTCTTAAACAGCCCCAGATCTCCTTCTCCAGCAGATACCCAGGGCCAAGGTAAGTGTAATGCTGCCTTGATGTCCAAGATGAATGTTTAAGGTGGCAGGGCACCTCAGGGGAGACTGACCTGTCCAAGCGCCACCATAAAGAAAAGGTCTTGGTGAGCAGGGACTCGTAGCCCACCCAGTGTAGCTAAGAAAGGGGAGCTGGAGAGAACTTGCAATTTCAGCCAAGAGCCATCTTCCTTAGGAGATGGGGGTTGGGACTAAGAGTAACCTAGAGACTGAGGACATATTCCCAGAGAGGGAAAGATCCTAAAAGGTCAGTAGCTAAATGCTCCCCTCCCAGAAGTCAGTGATGCGCTAAGTTGCACTGTTAGCAGCTCCGGGGACAGACTGAGGAAGAGCAGCGATTTGTGGTTCCTGGCTTGAACATCACACAGCAAGACCCATGGAAAGTCATTTTTGCCTTAAGCAAACCCGTGGAGCTGGAGACCTGGCTCCCGTGTACACATCATGAACCCACTGCCAGCTCTGCCCCAAATCGCATAGCCCCTGCCCAGCAGAAAGGATGGGTAGGGTGGACAGGAGGAGGGTGCGTGTGATTTCTTATTTCATATGTGGGGCCTTGTGCTATAGAAACTTCTAGGAAAGAGTTGGATGGAGGAAGGAAGCAAGAAAACACGGGTTTTGTACCTCCTGTCCCATGAGCAGACAAATGTGTGGCCTATACAGAGTTTCTGGACTGTTGACCTTCTCATTGTTTAAAGAACAAATGTGTTTTAGTCTTGTTTGCGGAGAAGGGGGTATGGTTTTTGGCTCTGTCTTGCTATCCACAGGGAGTACACATCTTTTAGAAAGAAAGGAATCATATTTTTGAAGTCGGATCATGGGTTTTAGAGTCACTAAAATCATTCTTGCTTCCGAAGTTAATCAAGCAGGCACTGTTGAAAATAGGGAGAATTTCAGGTCTCTGAGAAATTGGAGGGGAAATTTCTCCTTCTTTTCGGAAGGAGCAAAGTGATTTCTCCCAGGATAATACAGCTGACCTCCTTCTAAATCTGTGAAAATAATATCAGGCTGTTTTGGGGAAATCTCTTTTGGTCTGGTAAGGGCACCTTTAGTTGAGCACTAGGTGAAATCAATAACAAGATACCAGCTCTTCCCTCATCTCTTGGTTTTGAGATCCCTCTAGAGAAAGAGGTGCCAATGGTGCAAAGCCAGAACCAGCAGTTACTACTGCTGGTTTTAGGGGTGGAACCTGGTAATGCTATTGCTAGATTACTGGGCTGTGAAGGCATTGCAGGTAACAAGTAGTTCTTCTCTCGCAGCTTCATCCCAACCTTATCCTTTTAAAGTGAGCAGGACCACAGCTAGTTTACCCATGAGATACTTAGTGACAGGTTCTTCTCATGGTAGGACCAGCCTTAAATGGTCCATCGGCCCTTCTGCCCAATGAAGCTCCTTATTTTGGTCCGTTCCTCCCTTGGTAGCTGTAGGCTCCAGCAGCTGCTTGCCTTCAAGATGTTTTCTTTGGGATCACATAAGGAACAAATGACGTTCCTGTTGTTTAGTATTCAGCAGAGCAGACCAGTGGAAAAATCAGTGTTTTCCAAAGCGAATGCTGTTATCTGAAGCCCCATGATGGCCTGGAGAGGAACAATTTCCCGCTCTTTGCTCTGATGGGTCCTGTGCACAAGGTACAGATGCTTTGCTTCAGTGAAATGTGAGGAAAACCATAAACCTGTGTGTTTTCTGCTGCATGTGAATGCTGGGTGTCATCAGAGTCCATGGTCACAACAGCTCCAGCATTACTGAGAAGTTGATGAACCCATCTACATGACCCCAAATCGATGCCGGCAGAGCAAAGTGTGCTCTTATTTACTGGGCACGGGATGACCTCTCTTGAAAAAGCTTAGGATGGGTAAGGACTGAGCCATTCACATTGGTTTAAAAAGTTTTAATGATATTTCAAAGTCCGGTTAACGCCCTTTGATTATTCTAGAATTACAAACTTGTTTCACAGAATTTAATCCCGGTTATAATTTCTTTGCAACAGATGATTAAGATGCCATTTTGACTTCATTTCACCTAAATGCATGGTGTGATTTTTTTTTTAAACTACACTTCATAGTGTTAAAACTCTATACAAACATTGTACTCTGCGTACAAAAATAAGTGCTTCATGCACACGCTTTTTAATACTGTTTCTTGCCCTTTTCTTTGACATCTGTCTGAACTTTATATAAATAGCTGAAAAAAAAAAGCAGACTATAGTTACTGAATGCTGAAAGCGAGAAAAGTTTTCTACTAAGGTAGTGATTGTGTCATCCTCATTGTTAGAGAGAGGGAGAAGTGAGAATGGAATATTATTCATTGGTGGTTTTCTCAGACATGACTGAAAACACATAGATAGAAGAGAAAAAAGAGTCGAAATACTGGTAACACTCTTGCAACCCTGCGATCAGGGTTGTCATCGTTCCTAATCTTATGAATTGAGGTGCGTTGAACAGCAACAAGAGAGGATAATAATACCTTTTGGCTCACCTGAAGCAGATAGATAATAAATAGAGAGAAACCTCCTCTAGCAGCAGTTGCAGAGGTTCTGAAGTGTCTATTTTTTATTTTATTAGAAGTGTCTAAGTTTTATGCTCCCGCTATCTTGGAAGGACACCGTGCATGGCTTTGATCCCAAGGTCATTTCTGCCACCCGTATCCCCACCTGAGAGAGGATTAATTGAGGAAAACGGGTTGTGATGGGGCAAATGTTTTGCAGGACCTTCTTTGGAAGCCCTTATCCCCATGGATACCTAAGCATCTGCTCTCCGGGAGCCACCCTGTCTTGTAAAACTCAAAGCAAGACAAATGAAAGGAGCTACACTGCCCAGTGCTGGAAGATGAGGCTGGCAAGAAAACTACACCACCACACAAGTGAGGTCAGCCATGGGGTTGTCCTTAGGGTAGACAAGGCCCCTGGTTTCAGCTGAGCTGGAGAAACACCAGCAGGAGACAGAAGAGAGCTCAAGCAGATCATAGAAAGCAAGGTACACAAAACGAGCAACCAGGCTGTGGACAGTGCCCTGGCAGTGTCCATTTAAGTTTCTCATGCATACACTATTTAAGGAGCACATATAGGTCTAGGCAGAGAGAGAGAAAGAGAAAGATGTTACTACAAAGCTACAAAATACCTTCAACATATGTGTCTAATAGTACCACAAACTGTGCAGCTTATACGGTTTTGTTCCGTTCCTGTGTAAATCAAGTCAGCTGAAGTGTGAGAATACTTGGTTCCTATTGGTCAACACCTTCTCATTGATCTTGTTTTTTGTTTTGTCTTTTTTTTCAGATTTTTTTTTGCAAAGCTTTTGGTACATGTGATAAAACTCTACTTATAATAGAACAAAAAAGTTTGGAGTCGCGCTACCCTATGTAGACCTGCAAACAAATCTAGGGCCAGAGCTGTTCAAACTGATAGGCAATAGCATCTAACCACTGATGGCAAGTGGCTCTTGTGACATGCTTGGTGAACATGTTTGTTTTTGCTCTCCGATAGAGGAAAAAGTAGACCTGAAATAACACTGGGGAAGCAACAAAGGGGGATTTAGCTGTTCATTCATCTCACAGGCTGTGAATGCTCCTGGTTAATAAATCTATGGGCGGGGGGTCAGATCTAGACTGAGCAATTCAATTCTTTTTTTAAGAAATTTGTAGTCATCGAACACTGCATTTCTTCTGTATCTGTAGGGCATGGTTACACTGAGGCTAATCTGGTGGCTAATATATAAGGATAATTCCCTCCTTCTGTAAAGGAAAGGACGTTTGACATATCCTAAAGAAATATGAACCCAACACCAGCTACCAGCAGCCAATGCTCTGCGGAGCGAGACGACGTATGTGAGTTACCCCAGGGAGCTCTCATGGGTGTGAGTTCTTGTGGGCTAATTGTATAAGAATTGGCCATAATAAATAGTGTTTTTCTGGTCCTCAACCCTCACTGTCCTAAAAGTTTTCCTGCTTTTGACTAAAAATTGTGTGGGAGAGGAGAACGCCCCATTCTTTGTTGTTTGGTGGCAGATAGGTAGGATAGGATGTCACAAAGTGAGAAGGAAAACTCTGCTTTCTACCTGAAAAAAACAGATTTGCATTCAAGAGTGTACAACAGAGAGTGGAGAGCTGCAGGTTGCTAGAAACACTGCCTCCCTTCCAGACTGTCAAATCACAGCCTGAATGGGACCTATTCAGTTTTCAGCATGATTTGATGCTTGTAAACACACACACACAGCGGTACATATATATGTATATATCTACATATATGTACCTGAGAACCACTTATCTTCTGGGATACTATTCTGGTTTTTAGTATGAATATCTGATTTTTACTGATTTTCTCTTTATTTTTTTCCTCTCCCTAATGTTTTGTTATGAAGCTAGCAAGCTAAAAGAATAAAACAGACTAAAATCTCTTTTTAGAAGACAGATCAGCTAAAAAATCATGAGGATTTTTCCCACCCATGCTCAATTTAAGGAGACTATGGATGCAACACAGTATTAAAATGCCCCATAGCCATCACTGCGCGTAGCTACTGCAAAGGTGGGGTAGGCTTCGTACGCAGCATAAGTGGCTAAATCCTGTCCCATTGTCATTGCTTGCTTGAGCTGGGTGGCTGTGACAGTTGCAGCTGCGTTAGCAATGGTGTATCCTGCAGGAAAAGAAAGGTGCAGAAATATAGGTCAGTGGAAAGATACTCAAAGACCACCTGAGAGTCAGTTTTTAATAGGAAGACTTGTTGACAACAAGAATAACACGTGGAATGATGAATTTGTTCATGGGTAAATGGGAATGATCTAATTTGATGGAATATCTTACACTGGACATGTTTTCCCTCCATGTTTCAGGTAGCAAAACTAACAAACAGCTGCATCTGGAAAATTAATGCATTTTCTCACCTATTATTTGTTAAATATGTTACTTAAAAACTCTTTCTGGAGTATTTTTCCTCAGGTTTGGGTTATCTCTGAACTGAGAGGGTAACAATGCTGTTCTGCACAGTCTCTCCCACACGTGGCATGAGGAGGGTAAGGAAATATAAGCAGTACGGAGTAAAATCGGAGCAGGTTTCATAGACACAATGTTTGTGCAGCTGGGGAATATATACCTCTGACATCTTGCACAACCCAAGTACATAGAATTCTAGACAGCCACGTTAGGAGAGAAATGCTTCCTATGCAACACTGGGGAGAAAATATTTAGTAAAATGGTATTTTTTTCCCATCCGTTTTTAATGGAAAATGTGGTTTCAACACTTCGAAATTTTCCATGGGAAAATGTTAGCTTCACTGATTTAAAATGAATCACTGGGAAAACAAACATCATTTGGGACTGGCTTATCTGAAAGCAGAATAGAGGCTGACCACAACATTTTGTTGTGAAAGACTCAGAACTGAGAGGAAGCCCAAATTTGGGAGATGTAGCTGGGGTCTCCCCCAGCATCACTGGCCCAAACTACATCTCCCAGCATCCAGCATCGCTGATCAACCAGCTAGGTGGCCAAGCATCTGGACCGACTCCACCTCAATCAGGTACAAGTGCCTCTCCTGGGGAAAAGGGAGATATGGGGCAACACAGAAAATATATTGCCTTTTTTTGACATTGTCACCATGGGAAAAATAGGAGAGCTTTGCTATAACTTAACTATAATCGCTCAAAGTACCTCCTTCTCGCCTGGAAACTAAGATGCATGTCTTCCTACTGGAATTGAGAAATTGGTAATTTAATGGGCAATATTTGACACCATCGTAACAGAAACGAGCTGCTGCCTGTGTATGGCCTGAAGTGTGCTGGATCTCAGATAGCACCAAGCAAAGACTGGTGCATGTGGCAGGCAGATTTTTAATGCCTCTCTATTTGCTGAGCTTCCAAGAAACAAAAATAAGGGTGGATGAAAGCAAAAGCAGAGATGATAATGAAGCAGTAAGTGGGGGCTGGGTTCGATAGCGTCTCCATTTGGTTTCCATGCTGCGGAAGCTAGCACAAGCCCAG